ATACTATTCTGTTTTCCTGCAGCTCCTTGCATGTGAATTGACCAGCTTGCATCCCAGTTCTGCTCTGTATTATTAATTTTATTAAGCTGTAAGTTCTTATATTTCAGTCTGTTGTCAGCTTTACAGATTTTTACAGCAGCAGTTGAAATGGAGCGGAGCTGAATGAATGCTTCTTGTGCTGTCTTCCATGTCATTTCAGAAAACAGCGCAATCTCACCGCAGGCCTTCCCTTCAGACTGACTAAACCTCCAAGTAAAAACAAACTAGGCTGCCATCAAGATAATATCCGATCAATTAAGCATGTCTCTGAAAGCATTTCTTAAAAAAAGTGGTGTGCCAAAGCTTACGGAAGCCTTTCAGACAGCTTTTATCATAAATAGACATTGACATTTGCAGGCTTAATTTATGTCTTTGAGAGACACAGTAAAGCTAGAGGAAAAGGAGGTCGAGGATGCTGCCTGAGAAGGAAGTCTTTTTTGGTGCAGCTCCTCCCATTTACCTCTGTTTACTGCCACAGAGTCCAGCATAGGCTTCAGTTTCGCATTCAGCTTCACTAGAGACTGGAAGAAAATAAAAAAAAAAGGGAGGGGGAGAGAGAAAAATATTGATGGTATTTCCAGTCTGCTGATGGACAGACTAGGGAGTAACATGGTAAAAGGAGCCTGAAGTGCACCATGCCCCTCACCCTCCTCACCCTCCTCACCCCTGGCTGTAAATTCCCATGTAGGTAAAATTTTTCATTCCCTTTGAGATTTCTTTATCATTTATGATTTGACTTGAGGCTTTAAGTAAGCCACCAAAAATGTCAAAAAAAGCGCCTAAGGTGGCAGAATTGCCGCACAACTACTAGAGCTTTCTTGTAATCCTTACAGATAGTCCTTCTGAGGCATCCTTCAAGTGACTGGGGCTTCTTGATTACTGGTAGCTATGAACTAGTTGGATGGCTAGCTGGACAAAGCTGAAATAAGCTTCAGATTCTCCCACATGCTACCTTCTTATTCCCTGCTATAGATGAGTAAACCACAACAATACCAGGCTTTCCAAAGGTGGCAAAAAAATCCCTTTCTGTGTCCTCAAAGAAAAAAAAAAAGAAAGGTTTCTTTTTAAAATCCACTGAAATTGCCTCTTTTCTACATACCCAGTCCAAAGCCCACAGAAGTCACTAAGAGTCTTTTATCTGTTTTCAGCTGGATTTGAATTATCCCCCCAAATGATATAATCCCTGTGCTCTTTTACTAGAAGTTTATTTCAACTTTAATATCAAATGTTTCTGTAGAAAGACAGTAAGTGTTTCACATGGCTTTGTCCCTACATTGAAGATAGACAGAACCCCATCAACAGCAGCACATGATGCAAAGAGAGGGTTAACAGCTGCCCCCAAAGTGGCCATGTGCTGTGCTGGTTCAGGACAGAAGACGTATTTTTCTTTTGCAGTTTTTTTCATTGGGAAGAAATGGGTTTTGATGAAAGTTGGGTATTGCACTTTCTCTGATAGCATGGAAACTACATACTTGCCATTTGAAATAAAGGATTGGTGTGAGGAAAAAAAATGGAGAAGGCAGCAAAGGGTTATCTTCTAAAAGTGTAGAAAATTATAATGAAAAGAAGGGAGAACGGAAAAGGAGCAGGGAAGAAGGTACCTTTGCAGTTGATTATTTTCTTTTTATTTTTTTCTTTGTGTGTGTGTGTGCGCGCTTTAAATAGCAGGCCTAACAGCAACCACTTTAAATGGTCCCCAGAGCCCAGACACGACTAAAGAACTGGATTTTTTATAGCCAGCCTGTAAGCCATGGAGCTTGGCTAGCTACTGAAGTAAGTCTCGGTAAATTTTTAATTGAGCTATTATATGATAATTAAGGGTTAATGGCCTGATTTTAAGATGTGCTGAAAACTTGCAATTTCAGTTGACTTCAGTAGCAAATATGAATGCTCAGCACTTCTGAAAAATCATGCCATGAGTAAGTAGCTGATTTGTGTGGAAGTTGAAGCTAATCTGTTTGAAATTATTTCCTGAGAATATGGCACAAACTGGGCAGATAATTTTGCAGCTTTGTAACTGGAGTAAGGAGTAGAGCTTACTGCAATCTCTGCCATGGACAGTATTACTCCCTGGTGGCATTTGTGCTGTTTTTAGAGTGGCTGTGGGTTGTAACACTCCTGGCACCATACCTCACAGCTCCCTGTTTTAGCTCCTTATTTCATACCATTTTGTATTCTCCAAACCAGTTTGGTGGAATCTAAAAAACAGGGACAGCAATGCAATAAAAGCACCTGTCTGACAAGCTTACTGCTGATGTCCTTAGCACCTGCATGGCCTCTGCCAAACCAAGTGTCTGGAAGTAGCACTTCAGACATTCAGATCTTGACAGCAACTTAGCAGATCCGTTCTGTACGAAGCCAGTATCCATCCAGAGTTAAGCTTGATGGCATTTCTTGAATCTTCAAAAAGTTCTCATGAAGTATTTTTTCAGTATCTGCTTAAGATTTTTATCCTGCCTTTGAAAATATTTCAAACATCTCTCTGCACAAACACGGCATTCTGTACTCACACCCCATCAGCCCCAGGATCTACAAGCACAAAATGCTGTGCAGTTTGTTTCCATCACAAACATATCAACAACCTGTATCTGCCTACAAGCAGAATAGAGGAGGAGGTCACTGGACAGTAGGCTCTGTCTCAGCGTGTCTGCTCCACTCGAGGCTATGGCTGCATCCTTTCCGTACCATTTTGTTGCCAAGACTTAGCACAAAACCACGTTTTCAATCCTAGAGCCAGGGAGCAAACAGGGATCAGGGCATGACCAACTGCCTGTCCCTCCACGCTTAGGCATGTACCATGCTCTTACGGTAGGTGACCTGCCTCTGACAGGCATCCTGCATCTCACCTGGGTCCAAAGGTGCCGGGAGGACAGTGGGTACTTGAGCTGCCGAGGTCAACTACCTTTGTGTTGGCTACAGCAGAAGCCCCAGTTGATCAGTAATAGAATCAGGAAGCACCCACACCCTGTAATCACCACATCTCAGGAACTGTAAACGTTATTAAATCCAAAAGGAAATACACAGCTTTCCCAGAAATGTATCCCTAACTGCATATTATGGAGTCTTTGAGAGCCCAGACACAACAGAGGTCAGTAGGTAAATAACAAGAATGATTAACTAATAACATTAACTGTAATGAAAATAAATTAAAGGGAATATTTAAGAAAGAATAAACCGTGTCTTCGATATTCAGTTTTACCATAGCACAAGCAATTAATTCTATGGAAAGCTGACAAAATATATAGTGTAATTTTAAGAAACTTTATTCTGTTATACATTAATTTAGATTAGGGATCTCGACAGCGCAGATTTTGCACTTAATCTATAAAATGTCTTTATTCAGACATTGATCTGATGTTTAAACCACTGCTTCTGTATTTAGTATCCTTTCACTTTGGGACTCTTTCATTCTGATCTAGCCTTTTAATTAAACCAACTACTATAATTCCTATGGAAATTAGCTTTTATTTTATTTTTTTTCCAGCTACCAAAGCATTTAAGTAGGACTTTTCTGATACAAAGTACACAAATTGGATTTTACTTCTGCTTGAGATGTAATTAAAAACTCATTTGATTACTATATTTCTGGCTCTGTTTTAATTATTAAACTCCGGTAATCAATTTTCTTTTATGAAGCTTCTGGGAAATTATCTCAAAAGCAACACATTTCTCTCCCTTCTGGCAGGTTCTCTACCATTTACTGAATTACATGCATAGCACCTGTTCCTGATTCGGATTAAACCACCAATTTATTCCTAAAGCTATTTAGGTTTATTTGGCTGTAGCCTAGTCAGGCTTTTTTGCCTCCTGGCTGCACTTTTACTTTCCATTTTACTGCATGAAGCCCCCTTGATGTACTGCTCCTCCATGCCACTATTTTTGATACATGCCTTGTACAAACTGCTTTGCTGTCTAATTTGCTACCCAGCTTCTTAAGGGCCAATTTATTCTTTGCTTCAATAGGAAGAGGCTTGGTGTTCAACAGCTGACACAGGTTTACCCCCTTTCCTGTAATAGCTGCTCATCTTCACAGAGTGATAAAGCATGCCGGGAGAGCGGTTGTGCTGGTGGCTTGTGCTCCAACATTAGGAAAGGCCAGATAGGTTTGCAATTCTCTTCTGCATCCATGTGTTACCTCAGGCACGTGGCTAAGCTGTTTCTCAGAAAGTTACTGTACAGCTCTGAATTTTTCCTGTCACCTTCAATGATTTAGGTCTCTTTTGTGACTGTGACATGCTCTGCCCATGATATCCTTTCACAAGGCAAGCTCTTCTTATGGATGTGCTCCTCCACTACAACAGAAGGTTACTGGCACTTCAGCACTACAGCACCCAACTGACACTGTAACTAAAGCATAGAGAATGCAGAAATTGTAGAAGTACCAAAAACAAACAAACAACCACCAAACAGAACTTTCAGGGTGGGATTGATGGATAACAGAAGGGGCATTTGTTGGTAGATCTGCCTCCTGGGTGGAAGAGCAGTGGTGGGGGGGTAGAGGGCTGTGGCTGCTACATCACCATTATCTCAGGGAAAGGATGTTATCTGCACCAGCCAAGGTGCAGCACAGATGTGGCCAGAATCTAATCTACTGCTAAAACAAAGACAACATTTTGTTGTATTCTGAGACTTAACACCAAATCATTTTAAGGGGCGCATTGCATGCCCTAGCTTATGAACACTGCAGGACCTCCAGAGGGTGTCTTTTTTTTTTTTTTTTTTTTTTTAAAAGGTTCTCATCCAAATATTGCCCAGTTGTGACCTTGTTTAACTTACGCGCCTTGACAAGATTATGGCTCACGGAAGTATGGTTGTGGGTCTAATATTTGTAAAGCGAGTTTATGGAATAAGACCATATAAATTCAGTTTTATGACTGAACACATATCAAAAAGTTATAGGTCGCAGTGTTCACTCTGCTTTGGAACCCAGTGGTTTTTAATGAATCACTTTTATTATGCAGGCAGTTTCTGAGTTGGAAGGGAGGACTAGTGACCGAGAAGCCATGGGGATAAATTCAGACCTGGTGTAAGCATATGAAGCATTGCTGAAGTCAAGAGAGTCGTGACCAGTTACAGCAAAGCTGAATTGGACTCCTGAGTTTTGCTGAAGTGGCTTTCATGTAAGAATACATAGGCCAAAGGTGAGCCATCTATCTGAAAATCCTTGAACTTCAGATTAGTTCAGATAAAAGGGATCTGTACTGCAGTCATCCACAGATTTGAACCTCATAATACAAATATTTGATGCAAGATGTTAAGAAAAAACAAAAGCATTTCTGCATGCATGCCTGTGTACTAAAACCAAAGAAACAGATAAAATTTTACCTTCTGTAGGTAGAATACATAAAATACAGTGATATAGAGAAGATGCAGGGATTAATGTATATGAAGTTTTGACTGTGTGCACGTGTGACTTAATTATTTGCCCTACTGATTTATGGTCATATGTAACCATTAGGTTCCAGAAGAAATTACTGTATTTGGGAGATGGCTGAGTTCATGGGGGGGGGGGGGGGAAAGACTGGGATTTCATTGTTGATGGAGACTTTGTTTATTCTTTCTAGGGCTAGCTGAGGGCATTTCCAGGGCGTCAAATACACAGTGCAGATGTGGATTGTTTTTGCATTTTTGCCAGTGATTTTTCTTTTAATGCCTAAAACTGTAATTAGGTGAAATGAATACACTACTAACTTTCCTGATAAAAAATGGGAGTTTCCTTTATGTTCCATATAGAAGTCATTAGTGGTGGGGAAGAGAGCTATTTGTGAACAGGAAGGGATCTAATACACATATGAGCGTTCAGCTCTTCTGCTGTGAATCAGTGTTATATTTCTGGTGATGGTACAGTAGCAAGAATAATGCTGCACTACTTTGTAACTAAACGTACCTACTATGGAAGGGTGATTATAAGATTCTCTGGTAGTAAAGACAAAGTACTTGGTAGCCAAGTACTTCGGGGGGGAAGGAATGTGTACAGAGTTCCTGGTAGCAAAGTGTGTTCTGACCAATATCAATGTTGCTTTGCTGTCAAAGGGAAAGAGTAATATAGGAGTGGTACCTACTGAAGTAGCTCAACTGATGTCTTGCTAGAGTTGTAAATGATTCATCCGTTCATAATAATTTCATGAAACTGAGGGTTTGCTCAGAAGAGTTAGTGTTTCATAAACAACTTATTTGTCTCTACTGTTTATGGTTTTGATTCTACATCTGAAGTGTGGAAATATAAAATGTTTCTACCCCTTCTCCTTTCAACATTTTCGCCAAGCAGCCGATCAATGTCTTCTGCCATACTATTAAATGGATTTTGAAAAACTCTTCAAACCGTATCAGCCTCATATCCTTATTTAGTTCTTCGAATTTGCCCTCAGCTGGGAATTCTGCAGGCAACTGTGATTCTGTTGTGTTAAACACTTGAAGTGTTTCATTCATCATCATTTCTAGTCCTTTTCTGATGCAATGTAGTTTGTGCTTTGTCTTTCTTGAAAACTGAATGGCTGTTAAATTATCCATTTATCTTCCTTCAGATTTGCTGTACAATTTGAGTTCCCGCTATTGGCTGTCTCTTCTACCTTATCTGCCAACTTTTCAATCTACTTCCTCAGATCTTTATATGCATTTCCATACGCGACTGCATGTCCTTCGCAACACATTGAGCAGATAATCCTAAATAAAACAGCAACAGAAACTGTAGTATTATGAATTATTCACTTCTCTCAGATCATGGTGAAAGCCTCATTGAAGCCAAGCTTCAATGAAGTTGATGGCAAATGTTCATTATTCTGTATTCTCTCAAATATCTCGGTTGTTGACCTGCCCTTTCAGTTGAGATCTTTCTGGCATTAGATAACTGAGAAGTAATTTGAAGAAGTACACTTGTCTGAAGGGAAAAATGTTTCTTCTGTCCCTTCTTTCAACCAATTTGGGAAAACTGGTACATTCCTGAAGTTGTCAACACTAATACAATGTTTCATCAGTAATCTCACCAAGTTACAAAAATCCTAACAAAAATAATTTCCAAAGCCAAAAAGAAGCCCTGCCTGCTCTCAGGAAATGAAAAAGAGGATGAAGATCTTTGTGTCTCTTGTAAAAAGCTGTTTGTGATACTTACTGGCACAAAAATCCTTGTTCCAAAACCAGCAAAATTGTGCCTTTCCATATCACACTTAGTGACTGACTTTCAAAATTACAAGTAAAAGCATTCCTTCTTCTTTTTCTGGTTTTCTTTTATTGTATAGCTCTTCACCTTTTCTCTCCATTAGTATATGAGTAGCACAAAAAATAGACTCTTAGGTTAAGAATAAAGAGGTAACAAAAACAGTCTGCTGATGATTTATCCCATTACTGTAAGCTGTAATACAGTCAGAGTACCTGAGTTTTCTGAGAGTTCAAGAGCATTTATTCCAGGTAGCCTCGCTTATGTTCATCATTGGTAGACAAGCAGCAAGGGCAACAAATGTGCTGAACCCAGCCACATTGCTATTTCAAGGCTACAGAGAGATCCTTCTGCAGTGCAAAGTCTCTTTTCTCTGTGACAAACCCTCATCCCTAACATAATCTTTAGCTACCAACTCCCCTCCAGCGCTGGCATGTGGCATAATTTGCCTGATTAAATTTCCTCTGAACCAGATTTCTTACAAACACAGCAGAATATGCTGCACCTGCTCTTCCTCGGATAATATTACCCCCTGGATTTCAACAGAAAGTGAGACTAATTTAATCTGCCAATGTGTGTGCAGCCTCAGTCCATGGTGTATCACAAACTGCATCCTAAACCTATCTGCTTTACTAATCCTTGTCAGCCAGGCAGTCCCAGGAAGCATAGACGCATTCTCTCTCACTCTTTGTGTCCAAGCCATATATCAGAAGTAACCCTTGCTAACATCTTTTTGGTGTTCGTTAGGATCTACCAAAAGCTATCCTTCTCTTCCCTCAGCATACTATAAGGGAAAAGCTGATTTCAATGAGAATCACACAGAGCTGATGAAATTCCTCCCTGTAAACACATTCTTCCAGTTTAGTCCTGATTCCCCAAACCGACCCACTTTTTTTTTTTTTTTTTTTCTGTTGAAATACTTCTCAAGAACGTGCGTACATGTTTCAGTGAATGGCTGTGTATTGTTCGTAGTGAACAGCTCGCTACATAGTGCTAGCCCTGCCCCCTAACTAAGTGCAAACAAAATAGAACAGCAGCGCTCTGAATTTTGTGCCAGCAACCCCAGTTTTGGGTGAATACTGGGTACAGCAAGCCATTGTCAAAATGTACATACAGATAAGATCTTTGTACTTTAAATCATTATTATTATTATTATTATTATTGTTATTATTATTATTTTAGTTATTACTATATCGAGGACAGAGACTTTTGAACCAATAAATTGTTTTGGTTACATCCAGTGATTCTTGCCTGGATAAGTACTAAGCCATACCATACAGCCCATTCTGGACTTCCAGAGGAGTGGTCTAAACCCTGACTTTCTTATGCGATATTTCCTTATGCAAAATTGTCATTGAGGGACCGAGGGAAAAGGATAGATTTGGTATTTGAAGAAGGGCTGTATCAGGACATGGCAGTGTAAGCATGATTCTTAAAGCATATCTTTTCCTCTTTTCTGCAAGGGACTATTAAAAGGTTAATCTCCCACCTTATAATTGTAGCTAGAGTATAAACTTTTGGAAAAAATCACTGTGTGTGAATATGAAGTTCTATTTCAGGGTCTAAGTCAATTCTTGAACTGGAGAAATTAAAGCAAAGATGTAGCCATAATAGCTGGAGACTTTGTCTTTTTTTTTTTTTTTTTTTCCTACACTTTGTAGAAGCTCTGCCACTTATTATACCCTGTTCCTTTAATATCTGCTAACAAGTAGGATAGATGTTTCTGCAGCTACATCACCATAGAGGAATTACTCTAAAGAGGATTTAATTACAAGGCAGGACGTTATTGGCTGTAGGAAGACAGGCATATCAGAGCACTTGGAGTGATTAGATTTCTTTCTAAGTCTGTCAAACTGTTATAAAGAAGGGCTCTGTCCTTCAATGTTTCATTCAAGTCTAAAACGTTTAAAGTATTTGCTAGAATTAAAAATAAATGTTTCTGCTCTTCCCAGATTCTCCCTAGAATCTTGGAAGGAATAATACAGCTTCACTCTGTATACCATTCTGCGTTTAAAGCTCCTACTTCCCAAGAAAATCTTGAATAGCACTAAAACAGAGCAGTTCAATGGAGCACCAAGGTAGAGGTGAGCAGGGCAATCTCAGGCACGCATAAGTTGTATATGCCGTGAGCTTCTTTATCTTCCACAAAGACATCTCCCTTAAATTTAAATAGCTGCTGTCATTCTCACTGACTACCTGACTATGTATTTATCTGCCCAGAAGCAGAGTGCATGGCCTTTGGCCCTGCTATTCATAGTGTTACTGTCTCTGCCTAACAATGCTGTGAACAGAGCTGGGCTTCTGTTAGCATCTTTTGTTTGAAGTGAATCACTAACGCTTTGATGTTGTTTGTGAGAAAAATAATGATTAAAAAGAATAAGATCTTCGCTCTCCTGCTCTGTCTGCTCCCTACAGAGAAATCTGATCTGAGTTAGGAAAAATCTGTGGCTGATCCTGTTTTAGGTACGCACACACCACAGAGTCCAGGAGGGGAATCTATTGGTGTTGAAACTCCTAGCATCTCTTTACAGGAGGTTCAGAGCAGTAATTTGTCTTAATGATTGAAATGGTGCTCCCGTTATACAACACGAACATTTATGTTCAACTAAGTACATAATACTTTCCCTGCATGGTGAACGCAGCTGCCAGTGTAGCCATAGTGCTTTATTTTCAGCAGGATGTCAGATTTTCTGCTTTAGTTGCATGTGATTCTCCTTTACATAGTGTACCAAAAAAAGGGGATGATTACTCCGTACTGAAGCTACATTAGTAGATTTTAAATGCTCTACAGATCAAAAAAATGCATTTTTTCCTTATAAATGATTATTCTAATAAGCTTGTTTCTCATCTGTCTACTGATGAATGCTTTTCTTGCTAGCATTTTTGAATAAAGAGCAAATGTGATGCAGTAAAGCGTAACTAAAGCCCCTAAAATCAGAACTTCAGAGTAAATGGGTGGCTGTTATGCTACTCAAGGCAAAAACTTCACTGTCACATAAAAATACTCTGATCAGTGATCACTACGGTAACAAAAAAGTAAATTCAATAAAATTATAATGTCCCAAGTGTAATAAAAAGAAATGAACAAAAAATAGGGAAGCTTTTATCTTCACAATCCTTTGATACACGGTGTGAAGGAAATAGATTTGATTACTACAGTATTTTGAAATTGGAGGTGGCTTAATTCCCACATCGAGCAGCAAATGTGGGACAGATTGAGGGAGCAGAGCCACAACTTACCTTGTGCCAAGAGTCAGGCTTACAGAGTAAAAACAAAAAGGTTTTGATTTAGTCAATTGGATATGGGAAATCTGTGTATAATTATTCTTATTTTTTTATCCCAGTTATTATGTATTTATATTCAGCTTCACATTAGCTTATATAGCACATTTTATACAGCTGTAACCTCCTTCAGGGTTGGACTGGCATTCCAAACAGCAGTCAAACAGGATGGCTAGCAGAAGGTGCATGGATCTTGAGAATTTACTAGTCATTTGTAAACCTCCTTACAGGAACCGAAATGGGCCACACTCAGAAAATGGTTCCAGCCAGATGAGCAGAGGTACACATCTCCTGCCATGTGTTTGCTTTATCACATTGCCATGATACACATCTGCCTAATAAAGGAGATTTAGGTTATCCTTTACTTGGGACAAAAACTACATCTCAGGGTGGGTTGTCATAAGCTACCTTGAGGAGAGCAGACGCATATGGAGGAGGTAGAGACAAATCTCCCCAGAAGACTGATTAAATCCCAAAGAATGTTTCAAAATGAAGGAGAAAAAAAAAAAAAAGTGGGGGAAAAAAACCCGCTTAAGGCAAGGAAGGCCAGAACTCTCTAGAAAGCTCTGCAAAGTCTATATACCAAGTGTTTTAATTATCAAATATTCCTTGTGGGCACTCTGACACATGACTTAGCTCTGGACTCTGGAGAAGGTATGGGTTTGTTACAGCATAGTCAGTGGCACCAGGGTGGTGTCAGATCACTCCTGCAAGTGTGCACTATGAAGTTCCTTCCATGCTGTTACTTAAGAAATGTGCAGCTGCCAAGGATAGCCTGTCCTCAGGACTACTTTGGGTAAAGAAAACTTTGGGGGGCTCTGCTGGTCTTTTTATAGCAAAACTTCTCTCTCACTGTAATGGTAGTTGCCAGCATTCACTGATTGCTGGGACCATCTCTACAGTCTGGGTGTCAAGTAAAATGGAGCACAGCGTTGGGGTCCCGCCACAGCAGCTGGGTTGGTATGGAAGCACGTGTTCCCCTGAAGAGTTCCCTTCAGGCCTCTGGACGCCAGGATCTGCCCATACAGATTCAGGACTTCTAATCACTTGCATGGAAATAACTATATGCAAAAGCCTTGAGTTTGTTCTCTATGGCTTAATGTTGTAATTTTGGTATCAAAATGAGCGTCAACTGTTTGTCAAATATAAGGTTTTTATAAGCACTATGTTAGTGAGCTCTATGAGCACTGCTAAGATTTTACTAATTTGTCAGCTGCCACTCTGCCTCTTTATGTTGTATTTGTAATGATGTAACCCATTCTGTCCCCACATGCAGTCCCTACAACACATCATAAAGGCTAGAATTTTAAGGAATATATTCAGACTGAAAAAAAAATAATTAAAAATCTAAGACTTGCCCATAGTTGTAGTGTGTTCAGCCAGCCCTAACCAGAGGATTTACAATGCCTGAATACACTGCTGATGTGATATGTGCATTGAGGTTTGATTAAGCTGGATATGAAAATTAAAACTTGGCTTCACATTCAAGAGAGAATCTCCCGCAGCGTGATACTATGACATGAAGTTTTCTGTTTACCCCTAAGGCTGGTGCTGCAATGACTTCCAGGTTTGATGGTGTCTCTTTTTTAAGTTGTTGAGCAGCAGGCTAATAGCTGCACAGCATGATGCAAAGACAGCAGAAAGCAGGGAAATCAGATGTGAATATATTCCCCAGAGATCTCCTGCTAAGATGGAGCTAACTAACCAGAGCATTAGTGCTCAGATCTAGTCTTCTCCTGCAGAGGATGGTCTGATGATCAGCTCTTCCTGCTTTATTGTACTTTTTTGGATTACAAATCATGAATTCTGGTATAATATGCATTATAATGTAATATGAACTATTATATTGAATGGAACATTGTTTTTAAGAGTTTTCCTCCAGTGTCATTCTCTCCCTCTCCCCTGTTGGTATCCAAGATGAGCTTATTATTAAAATAAAAAGTGTGTTTCTATGGATCTTCTGTGCTTGCTTTGTCTTCGTTGTTTGAAGTCCATGGATTTACAGTTTATTTTATCATGACAAATTCTGACCTGAGGAAGGGACAGGATCTACAGGCAAAGCAAAGCATTAGTCCACCCTGCTGTTTACACCAGCATGTATTCTCCTTGTAACACAACAGGAGTTGCCTTTGCTACTGGGCAGCCCCTTCACTAGTAGCAGTGGCAGCCTCAGATGCCACGAGGTACGG